TGCTGAGATCTATCAAGGTTAATATTTCCAGTTTAAACTTTTCCCACCATTGCAATAATGGGCTTGGGATCCTGCACAAGTTTTTCCACCAGATCTTTTGGCGATAATAAGCTCAAAGTCAGTGATTAAATCCTTGGGATCCATGTAGGTATTGCTAATAATGAATATTGCTCAGTGGAAAGAGACACTCTGTACAATTGACACGTAAATTTTACAAAAAGGAGTAAAAGTCTAACACAGGAGGCTGAGAAATGAGCAGAGGGCGATGAATGACACTCATGTTTTTCACTGGGAGCTGCTTGGCAGTGTTTTCATTTTGCTTGCATGGAGTTTTGGAGCCTGCCTCATAGCATGTGGCACATTAGGCACAATAAAGATGTTCATTTGGCAGCTGGAGCACGACTAGGAACATCAAAAGAGTCATGGATGCATCAATAAACGAAGAACTCCACCCTCACATAAATATTAGATCACTGTTTTAATTGCCCGTTGAATTCCTGTCAGTGAGACATTCACTCGTCATGCCTGGTGCAGCATTACCAACGTTTCACTTTGGGGCTAGAGCTGGTCTGTTGCTATCATTCATTTTTTGCACTTTTGTCTCACCCTGAGCACCAAACAGGAATCATTTTGTTGCAAGTGCTGTACAGACACAGGGTGAACAGGTGGCCTTTGCTCTGAGGAGTAGAAAATCCAGTTAAAGTCCTCAAGCTCCAATGCAGAGTGAGTGTGCAGGAGAACATGGGAACTTTTGGGGGGTGTCTGCAGCCCCTCTCATCAGGCTGCCACTCACCCAACCTGTTATAATGCATGTGGGTAGTGGGAAAAATGTCAATTATCTGTCTCAGGGCTTTCCTCACACCTCATTTCTGTGACAAATGCATGAACATCACAAACATCATCACACAGACCATATGTTAGCAGGGCTGCCAAGCAGCCAAGTGTTGGATATTCAGAGAGCACCTTTGCAGCTCAGGCTGACACCTTCCACAGCTGATATCCACAACTTCTGTCTCATTTCTTGTTGCACTGGTTGGTAGTTGGCGGACAAAAGGAGTAATGAATTAATCGCACTTTTGAGTTTTTACATTTCTATACTGGTTTTATGTACAGAGCAAGAATTTTTCACCAGAGAATAAGAACTAAAAATCCAATTTGCCTTGTATTTAATGGGCATTTACAATGTACAGGTTTGGCTAAGAAGTAGATGTGATGCCATGGATGGGAAAACTGAGGAAGCTGATGCAGCTGAAACTCCTCAGAGCTCTCCTGAGTGCCTGGCAGGGAAGGTCAGTGTGGTCAGTGCCAGCCTCAGCTCCATGGGCTGTGTAGCTGCTCCTGGAACCTGCCAGAGGCAGCTCAAGTACTGTAAATTTGGGGTATTTGGCTCTTCCCCAGAAGCCACACGAGTTTAAGGAAGCAAAATTCCAGTGAGGAGCTTCCTGGGGATGTAATTCAATCTCAGGTGATGTTCCCCGCTCAGCCCAGTCCAGCAGACACCACCACCCTGATAAGGTCCACATTTGACTAGGGATTTTATCTAAGGCTCCAGATCTCCTCAACTCTCAACAATTGGTTGCAGTTTCCTCCCTGTTGGCCCTGAGGCCAAATAATCTCCACTGTTCTCTATCCCTGTGATCACTTCATCTCCTCCCACTTCTAATTGCTCTCCTACATATCAGTCCTTCTCAGAGCCTTTTGAATTTCTTTCCTTCTCCTTGCTATTAACCTCACCAAATACTCTCATTTCTGTGGTAGGACTGGGAATTGAAAGCATCAGTGCTTTTGGATGAGATATGGTAAAAAACCCCCAGTTTCCACTTTCAAACAACTCTGCCTCAGCCCTTTTTGGAAAAAGTTGCAGGGTTTTGTGAAGCAAGATGAATCGACAGCACAGTATAAAAGGTTTAAAAGTGTCAAATTCTTACTTCCAAGGGAATATAGAATAGATTCAAGTGCTTCTCCTTATTCCATGTGCCAAACCTGCAGGTGGCCTTTGAATTTCCCCAGAGCATGCAGATGGCAGCGATGCAGGGATCCCAGGGCTTGTGAGCACTGAGCAGAGAGGTGGGAGCAGAGCACCCCCAGGCAGCTCCTCCCTGCCTTAGAAACAAAACCCTTTGTGTTTTAAAAAAGTTTGTCCTTTTCTTCAAAGGCACCTGGACTGTTTGGCTGGGTGATGCTACAGCTCTGAACCACGACATTGGATTTTAAGGGATTATTTTATTATAGTTGTCTTTGACTTTTAAGTTTTTTAGAACTTTTTATTCCTCATATAATTTCTCAGAGGCCAATGCTAAATTTTTCCAATTGTAAGCTATTAATAGGTGACCAACAGCAGTTTTTGATTATGAAAAGACTTTTTATTCAGACAATCACAGACTGGCTTGGGTTGGAAGTGACCCTAAGAGTCATGCAGTCCCAAACCCTCTGCAGTGGGAAGAGATGCCACCAATACAAGTTCCTAAACCTTGTTTCATTGGGTTTTAAAAAATTATTTAGTTGGGTTGTGTGGTTTTTTAGGGGATTAAAAAATAAGGGACTTGTAATTCACAAAGGCTGCAATCCAAGCAGTGTCTATACAGTGGTTTGTACAGAGAATTTCAGCTTCCCACATTTGTTGTGACAGGAAAATATTGCATTTTTTTGGTTGGTAGCTTTAGGAAATTGAAGTGAGTTTATTAAAACACCTGCCACAAACCCAACATCAACTGCTAAGGGTGGTTTTTCACCAGGCAGATTTTTCTCAGGGAGCAAAACCCTCTAAACCCTGCTGTGGGCACCAGACCCTTCCTGGGAGCAGTTCCCAGCCTGGGAGTGCGGGCACCAGCACGCTCTGAGCACTCTGAGATTGCTTTAAGCTGCTGCTGCTCCCAAATTCAGTGGTTTTCCCTCCTGGTTCTCCTTCAGTACAAGACTTTGCAGGCAGGATGTGCCACCTGACAGCCTGAGATAGGTTTGTCTGGAGACACTGCAGTGTTTGAGGGAAAAGAGGTTTTGTTTCTTTTTTTATTTATAATCCCTCTTGCTTTCAGCAAAATTCAATGCAACACCAAATGAGCTGATGAAATTCTGGTTTTCTGTCCCGCTGTGAATCCAAGGATAGTTCTCTTGCCCTACAGTAAGGCGGAGGAAATGGGAGCAGTTTTTAGTTAAAAACATGTAATTTAGCCGAAGCCTCGTGCAGCAGCAGATCCTTCAGCTGCTGGGGGAGTTTTTCTGCCAGAGCCCATGGTGTCTGTCAGAGAGTTTGGGCTCTCCTCGGGAAGGAATTGTCTGGTGTGAATTCACAGGGTCAAGGCTTCATGGGGTGGTTTTAATTTTGTCTTGTTCTCAGCATCCACGTCTCTTCTAATTGGCAATTAAATTCATTTCCCCCAAGTCATTTCTGTTTGGCCAGTGATGGTAATTAGAGAGTGACCTCCCTGTCTTCATCTTTTCCATCCTTCTCCTCAGTTCTGCTGAGGTGGGGGAGTGACAGGGTGGCTGGGAGCAGCCCAAGGCCAGCCCTCCACTCTTGCTTCGGTAAATAGTGCCTCACATCTCCTTTTGTGCCTTATTCTGTTTGAGTGCTTGAGATTTTGGCATTGTTTAATTGTTAACCCAACCCATCTCATCAATATTCATCAAAAAATGAAGTTGTAAATTCTGGAATCGGTGATGGTTCTTTTTCCCTGTGGTGTTCTGCTTTGGGATTGGATCCCAGGGAATGCTCAGAAAGGAAGGATCTCCATGAGGTCCTCTGGCAGCCCTGTCTTCGTGTTGTTCTGCCTGGAGAGAAATAAGAATTTGATGAAGAGGATTTCTGTGTAACTTGCCAGGAGTGTTGAGTGGCCACCCACCATGAGACTATTCCTGTGCTTTAGGACCAGTTATAGAAATTCCACAGTCGGGAAGAGTTTAGGGATTGGCCACAAAAGACTCTGGCATTGTTTCTCTTCCTTTAAAAAAAAAAGCCTCAGTACAAGAAGTGTATACAGTGAATTTAAACAATTATGTCAAGTGTTTTATTTTGCAGTAAAACTCCATTGTTGTTGATTTTATGTAGCTGGTATCACTGTCTGTAGTTTTTTCTGAAATTGTAATGCAGTTTTTAAAGATCCAGGGGAAGTGAAATGTAAAATAAAAATAGTGAGAGCATACAGGTAAATGAAAAGTCTGCAGCAGCAGTAACTCTAGGAGAAGGTAGGGAATACAAAACAGGCTGTCTGCAGAAAAACCTTTCACATGCAAATATATTGTTCAAAGATGTCAAAACCTGAAAAGTTCATTTAGCAATTGCAAGTTTGTGGTGAATATCTCTTACTGAAATAGCTGGTAGTTAAATCACTAATATTTTATCCATTATTTTGTGCAAAATTACTCAGAGAAGAAATTTGAGACAAAATCTCAAATCTTTGTGCTTTAGGAATATTTTCCTCTTTATGCCAGCTTTCGTAAATATTTTAAACTTTCCATGTAAAGTGAAACAGGATTATTGAGAGCTGCTGTTCAATTAAAAGTTCTCACAATCCTTAGATACAGAGCAGCTCATGGGCTGTGTGACAATCCTGGCAGTAGGAAATGTTAGAGTTCAGTTTTTCAGTTTTATAAAATTTTTGCAGTAGCCTGGGGCTGAATATTCTGTAAACAACCAGTGCTGAGCCCAAAGATGTGTTGGATATCTGAAAGCACTTTGCCACAGAAGAGCCTTTGGAGGTCCTGGGCTGGGATGGGGAGCACAAGGAGGTCTGATCCCAAAAGGCTTATATCCAATTTGTTTTATTTATCTGCCACCCACTTAGACTTGTCAAAGCCTCTTCATCTTTCTTTCATTCATTCATGCATTTCTTTATGAAGAAGAATCAAAAAAAATATAGAATTTCTTTGGAAGTTTTTCTCCTTTGAGAGACATTTCTTCCCAAATCTGTAGACAACCTAATAACATAAAGATATCTGAAGCTTGTGTTCCAAAGTGGATACTTACAACGTGTTTTTTCCTTTTTTCTTTTTGCCCCCAGTGAAATTTGATGACTGCCAGGGGAACAACAAATTGAACTTTGAAGTTTCTAACCCAGACTTTAGAGTGGAACTCGATGGGAATTTGGTTGCACTCAAGAATGCATCAGAAGTTGGCAGAGCCTTGTTTGTGCACGCGCGGTCGGAGCACGCCGAGGATATGGCAGAAATCTTTATCCTTGAAGAAAATGAAAAACGTGGGGCATTAAAGGTAAGAGAAATACCAAAGATTAAAAAAAAAAAAAGGGCCAAGGAGATGCTGCTGCTAAATATTTACATGTGTCACCTAGGATTGTAGGCAATTTTAATCTGTTAGCAGAGATCAAAATCAATCTTCAATGCAGATATTGCTGTAACATTTTAGCTCTTGGTTTAATTTGTGATGCAGATTTCCCGGCTTGAGGAAGATGTATTACATCTTCAGGTGGGGATGCTAAACATTCATAAAGACTTTATTCAAATGAAAGAGCCCAAGTATGAAAATTGACTGCTTCTTCCAATGTATGTTATGCCAGGTAATCACAGTTTGGCCACAACTAAAAATGGAAAATCATAGTTTAAATGTGTAATTTAGAATTTACAGAACCTTCACGTTTTGCTCCAAGTCTAAGTGCATGGGAATGAATTCTGTGTAATTTAAATTTTCATATTGGTCTGCTTCTCTGACATTGTTAGGTGGTAAACTGCTTAAACATCTGCACACAAACAGTGTTCACATTTACACTCTGTCTCTATACCCTGCCGATTTTTGCTCTGCTCTGTCCACTGAATGTTTTGTCCTTTCTTTCCCTCTTCTGAATTTCAGTGTAAAACAAACCTCATCCTTAGGGGGATAAAGCACTTCATAAATTGAATTGAATTATTATAAATGGAATTATTTACTTCACACCCCTGCAAGTAAAAAAAAGGAGATGTGAGATAGCTTCACTTTTGTGTCCTGGCATTTAGCAGAGAGGCAGGCAAGGTTGTGGCTTACTAGGCAATTAAGCCTGGTACCTTTCCAGACCTATAATTTCACAGAAGTATAAAGAAACTTTGATAAAAATGACTGATCTGCTGTCTTGATTTGGTATTTAGACATTCAATTGCCAGCATTCTCCTTATGTTCCTAACAATATATTAGTATAACTTAAGCCTTCCATTATGAACACAAATTATCCTGAGGAGAAAGGTTGAACAACCTTCTGAAAGTCCAAGGCTGAGGAAAGGTTTTGCACTGCACTTTAAGCAGCACACCATGTGAATATGGATTGCCAGAAGGAGAGAAAGAACCAGAATGTGTAACTGCAGAAAGCTGATCAGAACACTGAAATGGAATTTAATTTTATTTAAATATGCCGTTTCTTCACAAAATTAAATTTTAATGCAGTCATACTCGAGGGAGTCTCTTACGTGGAGGAGCTGTGAGTTTAGGACTACAGATCACCAAATTCAGAGTAGGAAAGCTACACTTGAGGAGCAAGCTGGGCACTTGGCTGTCCTGTGCCTCAGACTAGCAAGCCTTGCTCCTTCTGGTGCATTCACAAGAACGTTCAAATGATTTTATTTTGAAACCTTAGGAGCAGTTTCAAAACGGGGATGATCATTCTCTGGTTAGAAGTTACTAAAACCACTGAGGAGTTTGAGACGTCTCTGACAGGAGGCCTGGAGTTAAACTTCAAGGGATTGGTTTATGTGTGAAGATCTGACTCTCTGAGAATCACATTCTGAAGATTTATTCTGGTTTTCTTAGAGAAGCAGCCCTTCCAGATCTGTGAGGAGAGATATTCTATGGAAGTTACAATCTAGGGGAGATCTTGTCAGATATTCTATGGAAGTTACAATCTAGGGGAGATCTTGTCAGATATTCTATGGAAGCTACAATCTAGGGAAAATCTTGTCAGATATTCTGTGGAATATCTGAAATTCAGGGGAGATCTTGTCTCATGAGCAGGAGTTACAGGATGTGAATTTGCACAGATTATGACAAGCTCTGCCAGTGACCTTTTGTCTTTACGTTCTGTTTGGGTTCTGGGGTGTCTCCCCTCAGAATGTTCCAGCAATATTAATTGATGCCTAGTGTTGAAATCTCTCTCCAGACTACATTTGAAAGCCAGGGTTGCTTTGGCCCCACTCCTGGATTCTGTTCCAACCACTTTGTGTTGTTTCAGAGGGAGAAAACCAGACTAAATCAGGCAAATTCTGCCACTTGCCAGCCTTTCCTCACAGGTGACAATATCACAACATCATCTCAACCTGCATTCATCACCTCTTTCTGGCTTTTGATATTCATCCCATAAGCACCTGATTACCCATTTCAGGTGGGATTTAGTATCTGCAATGCCATTGTGAGTGACATGATGCCTTAATGTGTCCTGGGAAATCCATCTGGTGAGAATCACTCCTCCTTCAAGGGAATATAAAAATCTCTGGGGCTGACTGTCCTGCTCTGGCCTCACCCTCTGTAGCTGTTAAACCAATATTTCTTCCCAAACTTTTTCATCTATTTTCCTATTTTAAACACCACACAGACAGTGCTGTCTTTCTGTTTGTCACACTTGAGAAGGATATAAAGACTGCAGCGTCCTATCTAAAGTGATTTTATGATAAATTTGAACTTAATCCTGTACTTTTGCAGTCTAAATGTGTCAGCACGGAAACAGCAGAACTGCTCCATCTGTTTATGCAAGGAGCCTTGGCTAAGAAATGCTCAGATGGAACCTCAGTAATTCAGCATAATTCTGTGGGGTTAAGATGAGCACATGCTGGAGCAGTGCTTAGCATTCAGTACTTAGAGAACTGTACCTTGTCTAATTAGGGGATAAGTAGTTCTTAAGTATTTCCCCACTGCCAGCAACTGCCATTTCTTTTCTGAAAGGATGTAACCTACATCTGTGAAATCCCATTGTTAATGTTGCTAATTGCAGATTCCCAACGTGTTTGGGAATGGCTCTCAACAATGATTTCTGATGTGCTGACTGGCACTCGGAGCCTAGGAGCAGAGAGCAGCTCCTAAAACTTTCTGATTGCTACCAACCATACTTTGGATGAATATGTAAATTATTTAGGGGTGCAGAAAAGCCTGGAAAGATGGGGGGTGATTCCAGCTGGCCTCACCGATCCATCCTATGAGATAAACTAAATTAACTTCATGGCCAGAGTATAATCATTAGCTGTTGGAATATCACTTAGCATTTAGCTGTTATTTGCATCTTAAGGGCCTGTTTTCCTTCCCTTCTGCCAGAAGCATAACAGACCTGCAGAGCCTGCAGCTCTCCATCCAGGGGTGCCAGGGGTGCCATGGCTGCAATATGGGCAGAAGTGGTTCCTCAATCATGAGCCAGCTTGGCCGTGGTCACACAATCTCCTGCAGGGGCAGACACTGCATTGCTGCTTTCCCTGGTGTCTGCATGTCTAACATGCCTTAAACCCCGTCAATCTCTGCTGCAGATATTCATTCGTGCTGAAATCTGTCCATCAGATTCCACACTGGATTCCAGATCAGCCTCCAGCTGGAATTGATTTCTGCAGCCTGCTGGATGTGCCTCCTCCCTCCTGTGATTTTGGATAGATGTACTGGTCTCTGTCTTGACAGAGAGGAATATTCCCAAAAATCTTCTGTCATTTCTGAGAGGCTTTTTAATGTGAGTGCACAGAAGTGCCTGTGGCAGGTGGAACAGTTAACTCTTTAATGGTTTTGTGCCTGTACACCCTTGGAGCCTGATGCAATCAGTGCTCAGTGAAAAAGAGGAATTCCACATGCACTCCCCATGGAGCAGTGCTGGTGGGCCATGGAACATTCCTGTGAGGAATGCTGCTCACTTCCCAAAATTTAGAAAAGTTTATTAAAACTTTATCAAAAACACAACAGAAGACTGAATAGAGAAAAAATTACTACGGGAGCAGAGGATTTTCCCCACCATGTGCTCACTCACACAATGGAGGTTTCACATTTTAACCCTTTAGCCCCTTCCAAAGTTCTGTCCATGGAGACTCCTCCTTCCCTGTCCAGTGGTGGAAATCACTTCCTTAAATCTGTTTTGGAGCTCAGGTGCTGCCATAGTAATGAGCCAACCCTCCCAAATGTCCCAAACCCAGGCCCCTCCCTGATAACAACACAAGGGGTGTAAAACACAACTATAAACCTATAAAACTTCTCTTAACATACATACATGATATTTTCCTTTCAGTTGTGAGAGTCAAGCATCCAATCACTCATCTATCACCTTCCCCATGGAATCCCAGTGTTGGGATGTGCCTTGCCCTGTCTGTGCCCTGCTCTGACAGCATTTGCTTGATGCCCTCTCACACAGCCAGGACTGGAGTGCTTGGGGATATTAAGAAAAAAAGAGACCTGGAAATGTTTTGATTCACCCAGAATTCCCCAAATGAACTTTGGATTCATTCTGAATAATTCAGAGAATTACTAAGCCTCAAATCCCTAATGGAAAAATAAATCACTCATAAACCCTAGCTGAGGAGAAAATGGCTGAGCCAATGACTGGCAGCATTCTCTTCTCTTTTCAACTTGTGTCTTGTCCAATGCTTGATCCCTGCTTTGTTTTATGGAGAAAGTAGGACAACTGAAAGTTGGAAATTTTGTCTTATCTGAACATGTGTCCAGACATTAGAGGATTTATGTATTTATTGAAAGAGTCAGGTTTTGTGGAAGGCAGAAAGAGTTGCCAGGCTTTTTTAGAGCCTCATAATAAATGGTGAGTTGCAAAAGGTGGCAAGCTGAGACTTGAACTTTGTCCTCCAAGGCTAAATAAAATGGTGTCTGCTGGTCTTGTCCCCCTCTGAAATCTAGTGCTGGTTTTAATGAACATACCCTCAGTGTACTGAGAGCTAAAACGAAACATTGGGACAAAATCTGTCTCTGCCTCTCCGTGTTGGCAGCCTTTATTTTTTTTTCTTCCTTCCCCACAGCAAAGGGAGTTATTTAGAACTTTTATTTGCTACACCATTACAGACGCAGGGTGAGGGGTGGAGAGGAGTGAGATATCAAGAGTCTGGCACCAGAGCAGATAAGAGGGCAGGCAGATATTCAGAAATTCCAGGCTGGTAGAAACTTCACTGCATGGTGCTCAGCAGTCTTCCATACAGAAGGATGAAATGATTAAATAGAAACTGTCAAACCCTCAGGACACATTTCAGGCACTAGATAGCAAAGGAACAGGAGAAAGAAAAGAAGAGATAAGGGTGAGGAGCACACCCAGAGACAGCATGCTG